CAAATAACCTCACCTTGCTGTCTGAACAGTATGCATTCCTGGCACGTGCTCTCCTGGTGGTCCGTGAGCACCCTTGCTCTTGCAGACTGATGACTCTGCTTGCGGCAGATGAATGGTCAGTTGGAGCTAGGTTAGTTAGTGTGATGTCTAAAGCGCCATCATCCCACCAGTCAGGCCTCCATCCCAAAGCCACCAGGGCTAGGGCAGTGATGCCAACAACCTGTGTCACCCTAAATAACCAAAATCCAGCCCTCCACAGGTACTCCCCAGGACCTGGGAAGGGAAGGGATTTTGGATGACATTAACCTCAGGTTAGTGTTTGGCTCCGGTAATATCTCGCCTGGAAAGTGGCCATCTTCCAAGCATTGTGAACTGGGTCCCAGCTTTGTCTCATAGCCAGTCCTGTCATCCAAGCACGCAGTGGCTTGGTGGAGTCACTGCCACCGTAGGACAGTGCACGTGGGAAGTCAACACAAGCCTCTTCCCTCCATGGCTCTGGTTTCTTGGCTGCATGAAGGTTTTCTGTAAAATCAGAGTTGTAGCCACCGTCTTTGACTAGACAGCTGAATTGGCTACTACCGAAACGGAACAGGAGGATGGGTGTGGCAGAGTGCTGTGTGATTTTTTTGTTTTTTAATTTGGTCATGGGGACCAAGGAGAAGGCATGAATCCTCTTATAAGGCTCTCGCAGCCTCAGGCACTGTGCCTCCTCCAGAAGACATGTCCCTGTGGCTCTGGGGCCACCACTATGTAAAAATAAAGTATGGCCTGGAAGCTGGTCTTTGTGGTTTTTCATTCAAAGGCTCACAGTGTGGCGTCAGACCAGGACTCAGCAGCATGTGGCACCACTCAGCTGGATGTCCTGTCTGAACACAAGCACCCACAGGCTAAAAGAACACAGGAAGGGTGTCACAAATGCATTTCTGTTCCAATGAAGAAGTGATGGCAGGAGTCCCAGTGAGAGGGATGGCAGCTCAGGTCGGGTGGGCACTGTCCTTGGGCACCAGGCATGGTCATCAGGAGGTCTGGCTGATGTCCTGGCTTGTCACGTGGTTGTGACCAGTTGATCTTGACAAGCTAATTGCTCCTGTGTGGACTTCATCTAAAAGCTGGAGGAAACTAGCTCTCCAACAGACCAGAATGCCTTCTTCCGATGCCTACCCGGAAGACTTCCTTGCAGCCAGAGGAGTCGTCATGGTTGAGTGGATTTTCTGCAGTCAGTGTAAACAGAAGTGCATCCACTTTGGCTCTTCCCCCCAGCTGTGGGAAGCTGCTGAGCTGGATGCAGGTGCCAGAGGGGTAGGGGTTAAGAACGCCTCAGAGCCTGCGTCTCTGAATCATGGGAGAACTGCCCACCAGCTCTAAACTGTCACTGAAGTAAGTGATAAACTTCTGTTGTGATGGAGCCACTATGGACCTGTATTTTCCAGACGTTTGGCTCAGCCCAACTGCTCCTGGGGCTGAGGCGTAAATGCCCAGAGACAGGAGAATCAAGTTTGTTTGTTTGTTTGTTTGTTTGTTTGTTTGTTTTTAACACAAAGCACTTAAGAATCAAGTTTTAACTCTTAAAGTTTTACACAAATGGTGGGCATTTTACTAGAACATGTGATGGGTGAATTTCATTCTGAAACTCTTCAATGGACTCTTTAGGAAGTCCCTTCTCCAGTTTTACAAGTTACATTTTAAATCCTTAATGTTCCTTCTGCTGGTCAGCTTGCTTTCACTATAGCAAAATACCTGAGACAATCAACTGATAAAGAGGAAAGGTTTATTTCGGCTCACAGTTTCAGTGGTTCTGGTCCATGGTTAGTTGAGCCTGTAGTGAGCATATCGTTAATGGGTGGGTGTGGTAGAGAAAATGGTCACAAACGAGGGAGCAGAGAGAATAGAGGATGGATTTAGGGCCCTCAATATACTTGACAGTCTCTAGTGATCCAAAGGCCTTTGGCTCAGGTCTTTGGAGAAATCCTACTACCATTGGAGAAATCCAAACTACCATTAAAATAGCTTTTGCGTTTCAGCCCTAGCTTCACCTTACATTTGGATGAGTGTGTACCACATGCTGTCTTATTCAGTCCTCATTATTGTAGCAAAGAAAAGGGGATGAAGGGGCTTAATTAGGATTACTGTTGCTGTGATGAAACACCATGGCCAAAGCAACTTGGGGAGGAAAGGGCTTATTTCATTCACAGTTCCACATAACTGTTCATCCAGGGCACACCGAAGCCAGGAACTGATGCAGAGGCCATGGCGGGTGCTGCTTGCTGCTTTGTGTGGTTTTCCGAGACAGGCTGTGGTCATTTGAAGAGGAATGGCCAACAGTGTTTGGCCCATGAAAAGCAGCACATTAGGAGGTGTGGCCTTGGTGGAACAAATGTGGCTCCGTTCTCTTCCTGCTGCCTGCAGATCAAAACGTGGGGCTCCCGGCTCCTCCTCCAGCGCCATGCCTGCCTGCATGAAACCCGTGTTTCTTGCTGTGATAATGGACTAAACCTCTGAACTGTAAGGCAGCCCAGTTACGTGTTTTTCTTTGTAAGAGTCGCATTTGCAGTGGTCCAGGAGTGTAGTCACAGCAATAAACCCCAACTAAGACAAAGGGTTTCTCTGGCTGGCCTACAGCTCACTCCATAGATCAGGCCTGCCTAGAGCTCACAGAAGTCCACCTGTCTCTACCTCCCACGAGCTGTGATTAAAGGCATGTGTCGCCACACCTGGCTTCAGCTTGCCTTCTTGCAAAACTACCTGCCCAGGCACTAGGGCGGTATGCCTGGAGGATACCACACCCGAGAGATGGGAATCGCCTGGATCGCTTGGCAATCAGATGCCAGAACCTGGTGCAACGTTTGTGAGACTTCAATGTCTGGCACTCATGAAATTGCTGGAACTAGAATTGGTGGTTACCAAATGCTTGTGTCACTGGCTATGAAGCAATTAGTTGACCCAAACAAATCACTTGGGCAGATGTCCAGCATATGCTTGGAATGTCCAGCGTATACATGCAATTGCTTGGAGGTCAGTGGGCAGAGCCAGGGTGCAGCCTCACAGCCTCCTCCACACCATCCTTCCCCATAGCTGCTGGAGGCCTCAGAAGGATCCTGGGTACAAACCTCAGTGTTCGCTCAAGTCCCTGTCCAGGAGGAAGACAGAAGGCACAAGAAGCCTCACACCTGCTTCATACCCAAACGAGCCTTTCCCAATCTGACAAGTGCAGCAGCTGTGAGGGAGTAAAGAGTGGTCTCCAAACTGAGGTGCTCAAACCAAGGTGTGACCGGATGACCCAGAAAAATGTCAGAAAAAAAAATGTATCAGTGCTGTTTTGGGCATGTCTTTCCCTAGAAGCCAACCCCAACCCTGAGCTAAGGACTTGAGTACAAGCAGTTTATTAGGAGGTAAAGAAAACACCACAAGTGGTGATGGCCAGGAGTGAGGAAGCTCAGGCAGCTTGCTCTGTGGGCAACTAGAACCGCATACATCAGGAAAACAAAAGTGTAAAGCACGCTTCAGTTCTGCCAAGCACTGAGAAGCTGGGGAACTTTCTATTCCAGTTTCCATCCCTGAGGGCAGCTCCTGCCGGGTGTGGTGTCTCTGCCCTCCACATCCACAGGCAGGTAAAGCCAGCCCTGGCAGTCAGACAAGTTTATCCCATCAGAAGTGGAAATCCTACATACACACACACACACACACACACACACACACACACACACACACACACGTGCATGCTCGCGCACACATACACAAGCTCATTGTTAAATACCTCTGGGCAAAATATTTAAATGAACTCAGGTTTCTCACCGACAGAGGTACAAAAGACAAGGAATCCAAATCTGCCCACCTTGTCTATGGTGATAGTGACTGCCAGTAATATCATTGTTGACAAAAAGATTTTTTAAATGTCCTTGTTCTATAAAGTAAATAGTCTTTTAAGTGTCATTGCGGCCATCTTTTTAACTTTTAGAAAAAGTTGTTTTTTGATTTTAGGTGAGGCCCAGGACCCACGTAAAAGCCAGATGATAAGATGTGGCGCTGGCCACAAGAGGGTGGAGCGCCCTAGCCATTAAAGATGGCATTTTAAATTTCCAGTTTGTGATGGTTGTTTCTAGTCTATGGAAAGCTCATTGGATAGACTGATTTTCTTTCCTGTTACTTTGCTGAGTTGACTGTCCAACTTGAAGAGTCAGTGGGTCGGTTTTTACAGAGAGGATTTTGTTACCTCTGCAAACATGGTTTCATCTCTCCCACCACAGCCACTTTGACCCAAGTGAGAAGCAACGGTAAAACATGCTCTGAAGAGAGTGTCTGAAATAGGTTTCATTGTGTGAGTTCTGCGCCTGAGTCCATCAGGTCTCAGCATCTTCTTCTCTGGGGACACTGCCACCACCATACTCAATTCTCCTTGATGTAAACAGTGAGGGAAGCGTCGCAAGGTGCTGTCACTCACCCCATAGACCCTTCTCCAACTACACTGGGGTACCCACAAGGCTAACTGTGCGGTTCATGGGCTGATCCATTAGCTGGACACTGCCTGGAAGTCAGCAGTCCCCGCCCAGCGTGAGGCTCTGTTGAGCTTCCAGAAGCATCCTAGCGTGGAGATGGGGTGTTCACACAGGGGCCGAGACTGTGGCATTGAGAATGTTCCTCTCCCCACCTCCTTCTGGGACAATGACTTAGGTACCCACACTCTGGCTTTATAGTAAAACGGTTTCCAGGGAGTCACCCACTTTCCCCTCTTCCATCCATCTGCTGTCTGGATCCCAAATTCATGTCACCAGCTGGCTGGAATGGTCAGGACAATGGGTCCCTTAGAAGATTCCTGGCCCCCACTGTCCTAGCAGATACTGTGATGTTTGGCCACGGGGCTGCAGTACAGATGACTCTTCTGGCCTTTCCTCTCTCCCAGGCATTCCGCAAGGCGCCTGCCTCCTTCCCCATCCTCTCATCGCAAGATTTCTCTTCAGGCCTTGGGCTTTCTGGTTACATCAGGCTGTCCTTCCCTTGTGACTTTAAGGAACAGGATCTGAATTGTAATCCACAGTTGGAGGGCACTTGTCCCTCATAGAAGGTGTAATCCGTTCCCTGTAAAAAGAGAAAGAGAGAGATATAAATGAGCACAATCTCTTGCAAGGCAGTGAGTTCCATATCCCTGGAGGGTGCCTGTGGGAGATGGGAGGGTACCCGCCAGCTATACGTCACAGAGAATCCTATATTGGTCAAGAGTCCAAGATTCATGACCTCCACACCTTTTACAACAAAGGGCCCTTTCTAAAGAAGGGCTCTCTATTTTGTACCCATTTCATCACAGCCAGAATGCCTTACAAGAGCTTCAGGGAATAAGCTCAAGAAGGCTATCTAGAATCGGTGGGGTCCAGCTTTAGCAAGATGCCCTGCCTCAGTAAATAAAGCAGAACTGATGGAGGAAGACACCAATATAAACAGACCTCTATATACATACATACTTACATACATACATACATACATACATACATACATACATACATACATACATATGTGCTGAGCATCCACACATACACACAGGAAAACATTTTATACACATGAAAAACAGACATGTAGGATAAAAAAAAACAAACCAGCAAACTGGCATGTTCTCAGTTACTGCCTGTCTTTCCCCTCTGTGGCGAGTTCTCCATGAAGACAGACTACAGTAGTTAGATGCTTTTGCCCCTAACCCTCAGTTGTGGCCTAGAGCTGAGTGGATTCACCACAGATACTGGTGCAGGGATAGGAGATGGGGGAGAGGGATCACCAGAGTAAATGGGTCCCCCCTGCTGCCAGTGTCCTGTCTCTGCACTCCCTGCTATGGCCTCCTCTCTCATCTAGACTTTGAGACAGAATCTTCTGTCTTTGTCCCTCCCCACTCCACCTACCTTCATAAAATGCCATAGAGTAACCTCTGAAACACCAGTTACTTCCTGTTAGAACCCTTCTGAGCACATGGGAGGAAGTATTTACTTGTATTTGTACATACGATGTCTAAGAAAGGACTTGTGCTAGTAACAGTTAAAGCACTCTCAAAATGTGGGGGCTGGTAAAACGGCTACACAGCTGAGTGCAGAGGCTCTGCACTCAGTTTGCAGTGCTCACACCGGAAGGCTCACAACTACCCCTAACTCCAGCTCCAGGGAGATCTGAAGCCTCCAGCCTCATAGGCATCTGCACTCGTGTGCACACACCCATAAAGACACACACACACACACACACACACACACACACACACTTAAAAATTTAAATAAAAGACAAAGAACCCTCCAAATGTAATATAAGAATGTAAAGCAGCCTCCTCTTTAAAAATGAATAAAAAGCTCTGAAAATATTTCAGTGCAGAAGTGAAAAAATGTTCAACATTCCGTCATGGAGTGTTGCAAATTCGAACCAGAGTGAGACACAGTTCGAATGACAAAAATTCAAACTGTGAAGCTCCCTCTTTTGACCTCTATGGGCATCTCACTCGCACGCACAAACCCACGCTCATAATTAAAAAATAAATAGATAAATAACAATTTTAACCTCATAAATTGCATGCCTGAGAAGGAATGACTTTTATGTGTGCAAATTATGCTATCGTAAATCTGACTTTAAGGCCATGTGTGGTGGCATAGGCCTTTTTCTCTAGTGTTCAGGAAGCAGAGGCAGGTGGGTCACTATGAGTTACAGGCCAGCCTGGTCTACATAGTGAGATCCTGGTTGGCCAAGGCTACATGGTTGAGACCTTTCCTTTAAAAAGAAAAAGAAAAAAAAAAGGGAAAGTAAATATATAAATAAATCAATCTGACTTTTACAAAAACCTGTGGCTTCTTAGAGAACCAAGTCCAAGGAGCTTAGCTCCATGTCCAAGGCCTTCACTGACTGGCTGGGCCACCACCCCGTGCCCTGTTCTCACTGTCACTCATGCCATTAGGGATGAAGGTCAGGGAGGGATTTCCCAGAGTCTCTCTTTCTAACCCAAACAATCAAATTTCTCATCACACAGTATATGCAAAAGTCTGGGAAGTGAATAAGGGGGTGAAGATGGGGTGGAGCCGGTGGAGTGAGAACAAGAAGGTGTTAGGTTCTTTTCCGCTCCTCCTGAGTCCAAAGAACAGCTCATCCTGGTCTCGTCTTCCAGAAACTTTAGGGAAACAGTGGGGGACAGAGTCCATCCAGAGAGCGAGAAGTTCTAGGTGCCATCTGCATCCTCCATCTCATGCTTTCTTGTAATTGTGGGGAGTAGGGAATGCCCTCCCCCGCAAAGCTAGAATCTGCTGGCTTCTCTGCTACAGTGTCCCAGAAGCCAGGCCAGTGCTTGCACAGCGTAAGTGCTCAGTGAGTTCCTGAGCAAGGCAGGCATCAACACCACATGCTGACAGTGACTTTGGGAAGTCACGCCCTCCTAAACCTTCAACAGTCTTAACGGAGAAATGCTGTAATCAATGCCTACTTCTCTCACACAGCAATACTGCGGTGGGTCAATTTTGTCAGTTTGGCATGCTTAAGAATCAGGTAGGAAGTATACTTCGGGGCATGCCGGTGAGGGTGTCTCCAGACATGTTTAACCATCTGCTGACCAGTCCCGGGATGCCGGGCTGATTAAATCAGAGAGAGCAAACTGAGCACTAGTGTCTTGATCAGGGTTTCATTGCTGTGAAGAGACACCACAGCCACAGCAGCTCTTACAAAGGGAAACATTCAGTCAGGGCCGCCTTACAGTTTTAGAGGTTTAGTCCATTATCATCATGGCGGGAAGCATGGCGGCATGCAGGCAGACACGGTGCTGGAGGAGGAGCCGAGAGTTCTACATCTTGATCCACAGGCAATAGAAGGAGACTATGTGCCACACTGGGCGTAGCTTGAGCATATATGACCTCAAAGCCCGCCCCCACAGTGACAACTTCCTCCAACAAGGTCACACCTACCCCAACAAGGACACAACTCCTAACAGTACCACTTCCTACGGGACAAGCATTCAACTACATGAGTCTACAGGTATCACACCTATTCAAACCACCACAACTAGCAGCATTCTTCTCTCTCTGCTTCCTGATTGGGGACACACTGCGACCAGGTGCCTCACACTCCTGCTGCCACAAACGAGCTGCTCTCACCACCATCTTCTCTACTATGCCCATCAGCTTAGAGCCACAATAAGCCCTTCCTGACTCAAGTTATTTTTTGTCAACGATTTTCTTACAGCAGTGAGAAAAGTAACTAAATAAAAAGACATACATTTAAAAACACTATAGAGACTGAAAATATGCTTCAAGAATGTAAGAATTTACCACTACTAAGAAGACTGAGCAGCCAGGCATGGTGGTGCACACCTTTAATCCCAGAACTCTGGGAGACAGAGGCAGGCAGATCATTGTGAGTTTGAGGCCAGCCTGGTCTACAAAGTGAGTCTAGGACAGCCAGTGCTACACAAAGAAATCCTGTCTTGAAAACCAAGACAGAAAGAGAAGGAAGGAGGGAGGGAAGAAGGGACGGAAGGTGGGTGGGAGGGAGGGGGGAGAGAGGACTGAGCATTTATGGTTCTAGTTTGAGGTTTTTAGGTAAAGAATATGCATTTTTAACTAAACTGCTGAAAGAATGGAGCATGCTGGAATGTTTTGACAAAAGTGTATTAATTCCAGCCATTTTCTTTGAAATTTACCAAAAAAAAAAAAAATAAAACATGATTAGCAGAGGCTGAAGAGAAGGCTCTTCCATTCTTGTAGAGGACTTGAGTTTACCCCCCAGCCCCCACATCCAGGGTCTCACAACCACTTGTAACTCCAGCTCCAGAAGATCTCATGCCCTCTTCTGGCCTCTCCAGGCACTGCACCCACGTGCACATACCCCCCCATACAAAGACACACATAATTTATTTTTTTTATAAATATGTCTAAGAGAGTGACAGATAGAAGATATGACATTTCATTAAAATATTAATGCTCAATAAAAATGTGATAATTATGCATACCCATAATTTTGTAGGTAAAAGAGAGTACAGGTATATGAATGCCATGCTGTGTGTCAAAGGGTAACTTTCTGAAGTCGGCTGTCTAATTCCACTAGGGCTTGAACTCAGGTCATCAGGACTGGAACAAGTGCTTTAACCCCATGAGCCATCTCCCTAGCACATAGCAACAAAATCTAAATGATGCATGGATGCAGAATAAATTCCTTTCAATTTTTCTACACATTTTTTTTTCATAATAAAACATCAGGAAAGTGTCAATTTCTGCCAGATAAACTCCGAAGCTTCTCAAGTACTCCTTTCAAGATGTGTATAGTTGCTGGCCCATTTCAATAATGAATGTGTTGGCTCATCATTTACACGTTTATGAGTGCCTCCTCTGGGTATCAGCGAGACGCTGGAGCGGCGGAACAGAGACGGTCTGTTTAGCTTCACTGTGGGCATGGGAGAAATCCTCAGTACCATGGGGAAGTGTGCGCCACCCTGGGATGGGCAAGAGGCTGAGAATAAAGAGACACTGTCCAGAAAATCAGGGAATCTTTTGTATTTAATCAGGGCCGTGGCTGATAACGGGCGTTTCCAAGACAAACACTAGAACAACCATGTACAGTCAATAGCTCTATGTTGGTATAATGTTCTTTTAAAATGTATATGCCTTACCCTTGTTAATTCAAATGCTGATTTCCCCACCCCCAACTCTCTGGTTTCAATCTGGATATTGCATTGTGATACTCATTCTTGTGTAAACAGGACACAAATAAAGCAACTAGATACAATGTTGTGCAATGGGAGGAGCCAGAGGACAGGAAAGAGGGGAGGAGCTAGAGAACAGGAAGGGGTGAGAAGGAGGATGAGCTCGAGGAGAGGAGCATGAGGAGAGCAGAGCGGGAGGAGAGAGCTTGGAGGACTTGGAGCATGAACCAGACCTAAGATTTCACAAAAAGCAAGTATAATGTGGGAAATCTAATTGTTAGGAAACTGAGGGCTTGGAGGTTTAGGAGGGAGTAAATATTGCCCAGCATTGTGTTCTAGATTAACTAAAAACCCAGTCTCTGTGTGGTGATTTGGTTTTACAGCTGCTGAGGATTAACAGCAGCGTTACCAGAAGTTAAACCCATAGTAAATT